TATATGTTGTTTTTTTTTTTTTAAATTTTATTTGTTCATTTTGAAATTTGAATTGGTCACATTGTAGGTGTCTACTGTGAATATTTATTTTGGCAACCAATACTTTTTGACCCAGTCCGCCATTGATAGAGGGGAAAATAATGATATCTCTCCATTCCAGAAATTCAGACAGAAAATATTTTTTTATTTAGGAACAACAAATTTTACTTTGATGTTTTGAGGATGTACAATCTGTTACGTAATTCCACTAATGATAAAATACTGGCTGTACTCAGGAAAATTTCATGGTTTCCTTGTCTGAATTTTCTGATGAATCTTAATTCTTAGGTGAATGGTTGAATAAACTCATGGTGAGTTCTATGATAGTAAAATATCTGTAGAAATTATATTGCATCATTAAATATTTGAGCTTAACAAAATATTGCAATGACAATCATAAATATGAATGTTGGTTGTTATTTTAAGAAGTAAGAGGGTACAAATGAAACAAAAATTTGAAATTGATAACTTTTTCCATTTCACTAAAATATGTTAAACACTTCTATCTTCCTTTCTCTCTTGTTCTCACGGAAACCAAGTAGTGTCTCTGATATGTCTTTTCTGTCCTTCTATGCTATCAAAACGAGAGTTCATTATCTATGAGGTATTGACAGGTGTAACAATTGTGCTAATTAAGGGAGGAACAAGCATAGTTAAGATATTTTTGTCTATAATTTTGAAGTCATTGTTTCTTTTTTCATTCGTCCCTGAAAAAAAAAAAAAAGCCAACATTACTGTGACATGCTAGTTCCCGACATTTGGCTACTTTCTATGCTACCCTAAAAAGAAATAGATGAGCTGAAATGGAGTGTAAAGTAAGTCAAATCGGCCAAGTATACAAAATCAAATTGCTATTTTCTTTGACCCTGATTACAACATGATTTTGCTCTGTTCTCATGACATAGCAAAACTAAGACTCGGAAGAATTCAAAGTTATCAACGTAAGCTTTTGTGGGTAATCAAAGAAATAAACTTTTCACAACAAGCGTGAATAACAAATGAAATGTTTGATGTCATGGTGAACGTCTGAGTTTGTGTGAAATGTCTTGAGATTACACGTACACTGGCTATGAAAACATTTTTGACTCGTACTAAGTTGAATATCATACTTGTCCATATTATAATAATATTGGTAACAACAATGGGAACAATACTTCGAAATAATTTAGGTTGAATATTATACTTTAATTATTTTGAACTATTGTTCCAATCTTTATCAATGTTGTTATAAACACGTTTCGACCAAATACCATCTGGTCATCATCAGGTGCTCATTGTTTTGTCTGAGATGGGATATCTGTTCATTATTGTTTTGTTCCTGTGGTACCAGTTATTTATCATTCCTACTGAACCAGTGTTTCATTACCTGATCCAATTAGTGAAACAGTGTACTGATAAGCTTTCCTTTTTCGTACCTCAACGTGTTGTACTTGATTTCCAACTAGGTCTCATCATTTTACAGTTAAAATGGCTAAATGTAAGTAAGTTCTATGCTAACAGTTTCTTCTCTTGCACTTTTAAATTAAAATTATGGCCGTAATATAGTGAAGGCTTGAACAAGGTGCTACCTCTTCCCCGAATGTGAGGAGATCCTGATTGGGGACCCTGGGCAGTACTTTGTCACCCTTGCTACCTTATCAAAATTTGCTCTTTTTCTCCCTACATTTATGTTACAAATTAAACAAAGCACAAATGACTATGCTGAAAAATTCAGATTTTGCAAAGGTGAAGGTTAACATTTTTAAAATAGCTAAAAAAAAAAAAATAATTTTTAGAATCTTCGAAATTCTGGTTAAAAATCTTTTTTTTGTCATCAAAGACAGACCATAAACTAGTGTAGGAAATTTGAGCGTCTTTTTGCGATTAAAACCACTTTGATTTCGAAATTCTTGTAAAAAAAAAAAAAAAAAAAATCAAATAATTGTTGGATTTTAATGAAACTTTTGTAGAGGACTGGTTGTGTGTTGTATATTGTTGTATTAGAAACACATGTGTAACTCCTGGTAGAATATTAAAAGGTCCAACTACAAGAAAAAGGTGAACTTGAATTAAGTCCAACTGAAGATGAAAGAAGACAAACAAGACCGATATATAAACAAATATATGTATTAAACAAAACAATTTTAAAATGGACAATAACATTCGTGTGTGTGTGTAACATTGGTGTTTGTTCTTTGGTGAATATTCATACATACATGTATGTGTGTATAATATTCATGGCATCTTCCCACCAGTGGGAAACCCTAAGAGAGCTTACAATGTAGTTGCTGAAATGTAAAAAAGGATTTACCTCACCTCCATGCGAGGTGGGATGTGGCACAAGGCCTGAAGGAAAGAGAGATCAAGGCAAGAAGTTACTCAGTATTTCTATTATGGGGAGAGAGACCCCTAGTGACAATTTGGGAATTAAGGAGGAGCTAACTCGGACATTTTCAGGACTTAGTCATAAATGAATGAAACATTTAAAAATAGTTAAATATAATTTCATTTATTTGTGAATAAGTCCTGAAAGGTTCCACTTTAATTTTTTTTTAAATTTCCAAATCAATGTGTTTTTCATTGCAAAAGACACTCTCACATTTCCCATGCTATGAAAGCGTAAATTGTTAGAAAATAATTAACAAAAAACTATTTGTCTTAGAATTTTTACAATGAAATTATTATTCTTACTATTCAAACTGGCATGCACATCTTGGGTATTAAACTCACAAGGTTTCGGCCATTTCAATTTTCATCGCCACAGACTTCCTAAAAAGAAAAAAAGCAAACAAACCAGAAAACGCATTTTATAATTTAAATTTTAAATTATGAAGTGAGTTTTAATTTAACTTTAAAAAATACTTTTAAATTTTAAACGTATTTTTTAAAGTTAAATTTTGGTTTTGAAAGAACCTCCGTACTAAAAGAAAAAATAAATTTCCCAATGTGAATAAAGATATGTTTTTTTTTCTTTAAGCATTTTTAAAACCATGACATGTTCACATTTATTTCACTCATCGATTTCAGAGACGAAAAATGTAAACAACAAATTTAAAAATCTCTTAAAAATCCAATAGTTATCCTAACGATGTGTTTCAGAGTCTATTAAGTAAATTTAAGGATTAATTGATTGGATTTTGTAAAAGCCATGCTGACTTCTTGCTTAAAAAACATAATGAAAATAATTTTTATTTACGAACAGTAGCCTGTGCGGTTAAGGTCACAATATTAATTTTCTACTGTAATCCATCTCTTAAAAGCGCGCGAAAAAATAAAAATAAAGAAATAAAAAAAACAAAAAACGCAGCAGTGCAATAATGAGGACATTGGTATTTGTTTAAAAATAATTTGTGTTTAACCTAACCAATAGTTTAGGAATATATTTTTTATTCTATACGCTTCTTACAATTAATTACATGAAACTAGGTCATTGAATAATTTTATTCATTTGTTAACTAACTACATTAGAAATAGTTTTTTTTTTTTTTTTTTTTTTTTTAAATGATACCTTTGAGTTTTAGAATGATTTTATTACTTTTAATATTTTCTTATCTGTTTGACGTCACCGTCATAAAATATTTAATTAATTACACCCAATGTGGTCTTTTTTTTTTTTTTTTTTTTTTCCGATATGGATGAGTATTCTTATTCAATCGCAAGTGGTTATTCAACAAAATCATTTCATTTTTGAATATCGATACAAAAAATAATCTAATTAGTTGTAAAAAGGAAAAAAAAAAAAAAAAAAATTAAGGTCCGCACTCGAAAATGGCATTAAACATTATTTTTCGATTCTTCAAATTTGTCCTCATTTAAATTTTAATAGAATTCTTGTTAGACAGAAAAATAGCGAAATAGTTAAGAGAAGAAAAAAAAAAAAGGTAATCATAAGTAATTTAAAAAAGAAAAAAAATTAAGTACAGATTTTTTTTTTTTTTTTTTTTTTGCGTTCACTTTGAAAGAAAATGTTTTATCAAATTGTGCAAGCATCAACTAGAAAAAAAAAATTGTTTTACTTTTTTATCGAATTATTTTTGGTAAGGTTCCGGACAGATTTTTTAGCATGTTTTACACTTGATATTGCGTTTTTTTTTTTTGTTTTTTTTTAATGAAATAACATCTTCTTGAGGGATTTTTCTTGAACTGTAAAATAACATTTCGCGACTCCCCTCCCTAAATTAAAAAGTACACACGAAATATCGAAAAGGGTGGTTGAAACAGCCCCACCTCAATCACAATGTTTCAAAATAATCCTATTCAATATACAATTCATTCATTCATTCATGAATATTAAAGAAATTCTGAAAATTTCATTTGAATCGGATAATTTTCGCAATTTTAAAAAACCGGTGGTGGGGGTTAAGTAATTTTCTTGCTTTCATTTCAGAAAAAAAAAGCCTCAGTTTTGAACTTTGGTTGTTTGTACCTACCTACCTAATAACAATCAAGATGAGCATGCCATTTAAAGCATAATATCCTCGTCGGGATTTTATATTACGGAAATGGGGCATGGTATATTCCGATTCGGGTGTAAATAAAAATTCCTGTATGTGAGATTGCATCCACCAAGGAATTTTTAATGAAAAACAATTTCTCTTACTTTATTTTCTGATCTTTGTGTCTCACATTCCCCGTCACACCGTCTGTCTCACTTTTCCCGTCCGTCACACTATTAATTTGCATACGTTCACCCTCATATTGAAGTTTCCTCGCCCGTCTTACACACAGTGGACACGCTAAGTTGATTTTCTATGCGTGCCTATACGAAATCTTATCGTACACACGCATCTAAGGACAGCTGTTACATTTAAATAAAACTACTAAAAGCCTGACAGTAGCAGGTCTTTTTTTTTTTTTTTTCTTATATAGACCCCCCAACCCCCCACACTTCTATGGGACAAAAATGTTTATTGTATCGCAGCCTTTTCCGTTCAAACTGAGCACGCACACATACATGCCATGTGCCGCCTTCAAAGCTTAAAATGAAAAATCTACACGAGTTTCTTTCTTTCTCTTTTTTTTTTTGTAATAAACTGTTATGGGTCAATATTAACAAATTTTGAAGTCAGCTTTTTGGTATTCAAAATGACTTCAGTCACCTCTTTTATTGCTGAGGTTCATAATTTAGGATTACTTTTTTTTTTTTTTTTTTTTTTTTTTTATAAAATTGATGGAATTTTTTAAATGTTATTTTATTATTTGCTTGGAAAGTATGTAGTGTAAAAAGTAAAAACACTTTAAAAAAAAAAAAAAAAGCGCCCTTCTCACCAAAAACTTGTGACGTTCGCCATCGCCTGCTAATTTTGAAGTAGATTAAAAAATAATTAAAAGGGGGGGGAACGTTTCTTAATTATTTTTTTTTTATTTTTGCAAAAAAAAAAAAAAAAATAGCAATAAAATATCCTTAGAGTTGGTGAGTACAATTTACAAAGAGTGTTTTATTTTTTTAAGTTAAAATAAAATTTTTAATGGTGTGAAAAATTTCAGCAAATAAATTAGATAGGCTGTGGTCTTGCTATGTGTGATTTATTTATTTTTTTCGTTAGAGACTTTATATGTCTGTGTGGCTGAAGGCCACAAATCTGGAGCACCCGGTGACTAGTGAATTCACGATAGTCATCAGTTTGTAAGACTGAGTAACTTAAGCATGGGACAATTTATGTTCAATCAAACTTGGCCTGATCCCCCCGACCCCCCAAAAAATAGGAAACAAACGTACATACACGCATGAGGTGTAATGTTTGAAAGTTTTCACCCTGACCAGAAAGTACTCCTTCTTAACAAATATCTGACTTAAAATGTTTATCATTTTTCGTTAAAGTTTTCAAAGTAGTCCAGGCTAAGAATTTTTTTTTCTCTCTCTCTCCCTCTCTCTCCCTTACTCTCTCTCACACACACACACACACACAGTTCCCAAATTTTTAGCTGAACTATTGGCATTAAGACCACCTTCATTTTTGTGTGTGACACCATATTTGAAAAATAGGCTTTATGTTGAGACTTTTGCAGATTTGTAATTGGATGGCAAAAAAAAAAAAAAGAGTGGTTGGGGAGTTTCATCGACATAACAAATTTCTTTACCTATTATATTTGTTTTTATAGAATCAAGGTTTGTTTTGGTAATGTTCCTTTCTTTTCATGCTGGGAAGAAAATACATTTTTGTTATGAATTAATTCAGCTTGTAAGATTAAAGTCCTTGAAATCAAATATTTTCCCACAAGATTAAGGTTTTTGAGTAGAGTTGAAAATAGTAAAGAAAAAGAAACAGTATATGATTAAATATTGAATTGTAAAAGTTCTTTGTTTTTGTTATCAGCTTTCTATTAAGTCAATTTCCTTTGATAGGTAGTATCAAGTTTCTCATTGCTTTTCATGTTAAGAGAAGTACTTGCAAGCCTGAAGAACTGGCTTGACTTCTGTACTGCTCTGGGTCACTCTGCAAATGGCTGTGTTAGGTTTCTTTTTTTTTTTTTTTTTTTTTTAAGACTGGCTTCTTTAAAAGTGGATCAAATAGATGTGTTTCTTTTTTAAGCTTTTAAAAAAGATTTTTTTTTATTAATGCTGAGATGATTTTTAAACATAATTTCACTGAAAATTTCTGATAGGCCTTTGTCTTTTTTTCAACTAAATGTTCACCTGATACAAGGCCGAAGAGCCACTCAAAGTAGATGGTTACTGAATGAGATTTTTGTATAAATGTAAGAATAAAATAAATATTGCTACCATATATGGTCTGGAGCCCCTTCTATTTGTCTCAAGGTCCTTGATAAAATCCTAAGACGGATATGCAATTGGCCCTGATCTGACATCTTGTTTGCAGTTGCTCTCTCACAGACATATCATTGCCTCCCTCTGTCTTTTTTACAAATACTTTCATGGTAACTGCTCCGATGAGTTGCTTTCGCTGGTCCCCAGACTTCATGAATTTAAGCGTTCAACTGGGCTGGCACCTCACTCTGACCCTTTCACTGTCAAAACTTAAATGTAACCATCTCTTCTACTCCAATAGCTTCATGTCTCGCACTTCTCACCTGTGGAACACCCTCCCCATTTCTTGTTTCCCTGATAGCTATAATCTCCAACTATTCAAATGTAATGTTAATTAACGTCTCCAAATGCCCTGATCTATCCCCTAACCTTCTCTTCATCTTTTCCTCTATCACTCCTCTTTGCTCTTGCTCCAACTCTCTGTAACCCCTTGCATGCATGTGGCTTCCCGTCTTGCTTGGGGTTAAATGCTTAAAAAAAAAAAAAAAGTATATGTTATGAAGATACGTAGAATAGGTAAGGGTTAACTCTAGACTTGAAGATTATAGTGAACTTGGAAGCATCCACATAACATAATGGTTCTCAGGATGAATCTGTTTTAGTGGAATTTCCTTCTTAATAATGAAATACGGTATATGGTATAGTGGGTTTTGGCTGTAAATTCTTGAATTGGTAGGACTAAAAAAATGTAGACTGAATATTTGCAATGAAATTTTTTTTTTTTTTTTTTTTTTTTTTTTTTTTTTTTTTTTGGCAAAGATGTTCACTGTGCACTGGAGCCACTTGTGATAGTGTTACAGAGTAAGAAGCATGGTTTATGGTGGGTTATGGGGATAATGGTTAACTTTAGATTTTAGTGATTGAGGAAGCATCTTTTTGGGAGTTGATTCTTCATGGGAAGAAGCTGCTTATGTGGAACTTAAATCCAATGAATGGAATACAAAAGGAATGAAGGTGGTTTGTTACAATGTGCATAACATGGCAGGTCTTAGTTGTAAAGGTTAGAACTGGTGGAATTAAGGAGTGCAGTTCATTTGAACACTTTCCATGGAAATATTGATAAAGCAGCGAGAGACTTGTGACGTTTTGTCTGAAGGAAAGAGATTGCAAGCTAGAAAATAATTTGTCACCACGAAGGATGCAAGCAGATTTTTGAACAATACTGGAAGGAGAAGATTGGGCAGATCCTGTCCATATATAGCAACAGTACTGTATTTTAGACCTGGTCTGGCTCTTGTAAAGATACAGGATAGAAGGAGGAGTCTGGTACCTACTGGAGTGGTATAGGGAACTGACCATTTTTTCAACATATTTAGTGTATTTAGTCATACTTATGGGTTCTATTTGCTTGAAGGTACAGGGCTTAGTGATAAAGTAGTGATAGGTTTGTGACTTTTCAGTTTTGTGGAAAGGGGTTGTAGAATAGAAAATGATTCATCTCCCACAATGTCACATCCACACTTTTGAACTCTTGTCAAGGCTGGAAAGTGAAGATTAGAAAGTTTCAGTTCACATATGACAACAGTATTCGATTTTTTGGTTTAGCCTGATTTGTAAAGATCAAGCATGGCAGGAGGAGTCTGATATTTTCTTTGTTAGTTTTGAATTTTCAGTGTTACAATTCATCAGAGTTTTGTTTGTATTACTTATTTATTTTGTTAAATGGGCTTTGATATCTTCTATATAAATAAAGTGCAGTGTACGTGTGTCTGGCTTCCATCTGTTTTTCGATCTCCGTGAACCACAACCAACCTGAAGGTAATAACTACTGTAGTTACACACTCTGGTTATAGCTGTTTATCTTTGATCCCTAAAATGTGTTCATTTAATTATCACTATCATTGGTTTTGGTATCTAGTTTTAAAAAGAAATTCTGCTTACTTGCCATAATATGATGGTTCTACAAAAACAATTAACATTTCATAAAACCACACTTAGGATTTTGTGTACAAGATTCAAAAAATAAAACTACTTGTGTGTTATCAGTAGATTTAAAAAAAAATTTTTTTTTTTTTTTTTAAATCCTGAATTTTAAATGTGTGCACTCCTTAGAATATGGAGGCAATAGTCTTCCTTTCTCCATATGACATTTTTCAGCTTTTGAATTCCCATTAACATTGTAATTTCTGTTAAATGTTTATTCCATGAAGTGAAATTTGATCTCTAAGCTCTTTTCACTAATCTGTTTGGATATTTTTCATCAGGAAGTTTATTATATATATGTATACATAATATCAAACATTGATAAAACAACTTTGAGTTTCATGCAGTTTTTCAGGTGTGGAGAATCTCCTAACCTGAAGATTGCATTAATTGCATGAAACTCAGAATTGTGTTATCAACGTTGCATAATATTTATATTCACTAATATATACTTATAGCTCTGTATCATAACATTGAGCACTATTTATAACACCTGGGGAATAAATAATACTTACATATGTGCAAGTATTTGTACATTTTTTTATCTTACCCATTCCTGTGTGTGTGTGTATATATATATATATATATATATATATATATATATATATTAGATGTGAGTTTGTGACCCTGTGTTTCACGCTTTAGTGATCGTCAGGGTTTGTCTGACAATCGCTAAAGTGTGAAACCCAGGGTCACAAACTCACATCTATCCAACCAAATATGTTAGCTCTATCTCTGATATTGAGCGATTTCTAATAAGTACAGCGCATATAATATATAAACAATATATATATATATATATATATATATATATATATATATACACACACACACACACACACACACACAGGTTATGACTTTTTAAAAATAATTGATTTCCTGTATCATAAGTCAATCAACTTTTTGTTAAAAACAAAAAATAATGAAGGCTTTAATATATTTTTTTTTTTTTTTTTTTTTTGAATATCACTACCAACACAAAATTTCTAAATTCTTATATAAGTATAGTTGTATAATAACTTTCTGGTGTCTTCTAGGACTTGTTTTTGTTGATTTGTAAGTTTCTATGTTATGCTATAGCTATAAACTGTTAAGTGTTAAAAAATACATAAGTACAACCTAATTACATCATTAACAAATTGAAAAATAAAACTTCTGAAATATTTTTTTTTTTTTTTTTACCCTTATTGCATATATGGTAAAATCAGATCTTCAGTTTGGAGGTGAACTTTTCAAGAACTAAAACAAGTTAATGCCTTTTTATTACTTTTGAACAAAAATTCAGCGATTTGACACCAGAACATAGGGTTACAAAAAGTCATAACCCTAATATATATATATATATATATA